TGAAGCTAATAGTTTATGTTGAAAAATAAAGTTTATATTTTATATTTTTATGTTTTAGATTTTATTTTCCATGAACTTTTTGAAGTCCTCTCATGTAACACTAGCTCTCAGAAACTATTAAGCTATCTGTGCTTATGTTAAATAGCCAAAAATTATTAAGTATTTTCTTATACCAACCAACTTTCTCTTTCTTTGCTATGAAACTATCAGCAATCATTTCCAAGCACAATAAGGACCCACCTTTATCAGTGCCTGCAACTTTCCATTCCTACCTTGCTGCTGGTAATCTATGTAGTACTTGGGAAATGAAATATCCAAGTTTTTTAAAGATTTCTATATAAATTAAAAGTTAATAGGCTTCACCTAAAAATGCTTTGCACATAGTTGGATAATTTTGTTCTACGTATTATAGGTTACAAGATACATGAATTCCAATGAGAATACAAGTTCTTGATCATATCTCCAGTGTTGTTCCTTTACTCAACTAGCGGTCAAGTCTTGGGATTAGAAACTGCCTATGCTGTGTCTTTTGTAACATAAGGGAAAGAGATAATAGGCCAGGAACCAAGGAATTTAATGCTAGTGTATGTTCTTGTACCTATAAGTTCTGTAATCTTCAGGAAGTCTTTTAACCTTGATACTTGTCCTCTACAACTTATGGGACCACTCTAGAATTAAAATCGATTATGGGGGCCGGTGCTGTGGCGCAGCAGGTTAATCTTCCGCTGCAGCGCCAGCATCCCACATGGGCACCGTTTCTAGTCCCAGCTGCTCCACTTCTGATCCAGCTCTCTGCTATAGCCTGGGAAAGCAGCAGAAGATGGCCCAAGTGCTTGGGCTCCTGCACCCGCATGGGAGACCAGGAAGAAGCACCTGGCTCCTGGCTTCGGATCAGTGCAGCTCCGGCTGTTGCGGCCATTTGGGGAATGAACCAACGGAAGGAAGACCTTTCTCTCTGTCTCTCTCTGACTGTAACTTTACCTCTCAAATAAATAAATAAAATCTTCTTAAAAAAATTATGAACACAAAACACTCCGAAAAGCATGAAGCACTTACCAAAAGATTATTATGGTATTATACTGTGCTTATATGATCCCGGGTCAATATAGATATCAGTTCAGAAAATTCTACAAGATTTGTGGTGAGGGAGAATGAAACATGTTGGGCAAATGGTATAAAGTTTCAAGAAATAAATTCTGTAAACTTATTGTACAGCAGTGACTACAGTTAATACTAATGTATTATATACATAAAATTGCTAATAGATTTTAACATGCTCACCACAAAAAAGAATGTGAGGTGATGAACATGGTAATTAGCTTCACTTAATCATTCCATAATATATACATTTATCAAACGTTTTGATAGTTTCTATCAATAAAAATAAAAATTTTTTTTTTTTTTAATTTTTTGACAGGCAGAGTGGACAGTGAGAGAGAGAGACAGAGAGAAAGGTCTTCCTTTGCCGTTGGTTCACCCTCCAATGGCCGCCGCGGCCGGCGCGCTGCGGCCGGCGCACCGCGCTGATCCGATGGCAGGAGCCAGGAGCCAGGTGCTTTTCCTGGTCTCCCATGGGGTGCAGGGCCCAAGCACCTGGGCCATCCTCCACTGCACTCCCTGGCCACAGCAGAGGGCTGGCCTGGAAGAGGGGCAACCGGGACAGAATCCGGCGCCCCGACCGGGACTAGAACCCGGTGTGCCGGCGCTGCTAGGCGGAGGATTAGCCTAGTGAGCCGCGGCGCCGGCCTAATAAAAATAAATTTTAAAAGTGAAAAAGAGGCCGGCGCCGCGGCTCAGTAGGCTAATCCTCCGCCTTGCGGTGCTGGCACATCGGGTTCTAGTCCCGGTCGCGGCGCCGGATTCTGTCCCGGTTGCCCCTCTTCCAGGCCAGCTCTCTGCTGTGGCCTGGGAGTGCAGTGGAGGATGGCCCAGGTGCTTGGGCCCTGCACCCCATGGGAGACCAGGAAAAGCACCTGGCTCCTGGCTCCTGCCATCGGATCAGCGCGGTGCGCCGGCCGTGGCGGCCATTGGAGGGTGAACCAACAGCAAAAAGAAGACCTTTCTCTCTGTCTCTCTCTTTCACTGTCCACTCTGCCTGTCAAAAAAAAAAAAAAAATTCATACCAGAAATAATAGAGATGATTTTTAAACTATCCCCTATTAATTAGGAAACATATGTAATCTAGGAAGAACAATATGTCCCACAAGTTTGGCATCTCTGATTCTTCCTCCCTTATACCTAGTCAGCCTTTCTTTTGATTCTTCACAATCCCTCACATCTGTCCCTTTCTTTCCATTACCACCTCAAAATCAGTTCAGGCCTTTATCTCACATCTGGGTCAGTATAACTGCCTCTAACTGGCTCCACTCACAGCTCTCTCTCCCTTTCTGAAGTCATTCTGCTTATAGCTACTAGATCGATTTCTCAGAACACTGCTGTGATCATATCTGCTCAAAATCTCTGAGCACTCGCCATTATCTTCTCCATCAAGTTCAAACTCCTAAGCCTGACAGTGCCTGTGCAGCTCTAGCAGTCTTCCTATGTTTAGCCCTTACTACTCTTCCAAACAAAGCCTTTCTCAAACTGACTTACATAATTCCTTCAGATATGCCTTGTACTTTTTGCTTCTAATTCTTGGTGTACACAGCTTCTCTCCACAGGAATACTTTCTTCTTCCTGGTTCTATCTTAGCCTATAAAAATTCAACTAACCCTTTAAGAACTGGTTTGAGAGCCACCATAAGGAGGAAAATTGCACAGATTCTAACATTAGGTACACCTGCGTTTGAATTACAATTCTAACCACTCCCTGGAAAACCAACACTGGGTACATTTCTTAACAGCTTCTTGCCTCAGTTTCTTCATCTGAAATATGGGGATAGAAGCAACTTTCCTTATGCATACTGTGAAGAATAATAATGAAATTAATCATGGAAAGCACTTAGCATGATGCCTGGCACTAATGAAGACCCTGGAGATGTTAGATACTGTCGGGACTTATATTGATACCACTGCCATTAGTGCATTTATCTTCACTGGAACTCAGAAAATACTAATAACCACTACAAATGGACTCTTCATGCACATACAGTATCACTCCCCTTACTTTCCTTTTCTACCTCTTCACTTCCTGTGTTTTCTTCCTTCACTGCTGCTAGTCCCCAGATTTTATGATCCTGATGGAGAGGTCAATGTCTTATATAACTTAGTATCTATAATGGTCATGCACAACTAGAAGATGATCAATCAATAGATTAATACCTAATTAAAGAACACCGAGGAGTTGGCAGTATTAAAATGTCCTGCATCCTACACTGGAAACTTATAAAAGAATGCTTAAAGTGATTAATAAAAAAAATTTTAAGTTTCTCACCTCACAAAATTAAATCTCTTTTAATGGTGTTGTTTTCCCTTGCGCTCTCTCTCTAAAAACAATGCAACCTATTCATGCCGCAAGAGATGGAAAAGCAAAATATATGCAGGTCAGACAGCAGCCAAATACTGGAACACAAGGACCATGAGACAACTCAGATGAAAATAGAAGAAGTCAGATAGGAAGACAATTTAAAGGGAAAGGTAACGGGCTTATCAGTCATACTAATGATGCTGCTATTCATCTACACAAACCCTAGAATTCCTTTGCACACAAGGCCAAGTATGGGAATAAAGCACTGAAATAACCAGTCTATTAGATAAAGAAGCACCAGTTATTGAGCTCAGCAACTTAGCTTACCCCATGATCAATTTAATTATCTATTTCAAAAATAACTACTGGGACCTCTGCTGTGGCATAGCGATGCCAAGCATCCCATACAGGCGCCGGTTAGTGTCTTGGCTGCTCCACTTTGGATCCAGCTCCCTGCTAATGGCCTAGGAAAAGCAGAAGGTGGTCCAAGTGCTTGGGCCCCTGCCACCCACATGGAAGACTCAGATGAAGCCCCTGGCTCCTGACTTCCAACCAGCTCAGACCAGGACATTGCAGCCATTTTGGGGAGTGAATCAACAGATGGAAGATCTCTCTCTGTGTCCCTCCCTCTCTCTCTGTAACTCTGCCTTTCAAATAAATAAATAAATAAATCTAAAAAAAATTTTAACATTCCTCAAGATTCTAAAGTAACCCAAGTTATACCTAATGGAATCATATCAAGTAGGCATTGCCTTACAGCAACCTAATCATTTACCTAAAGAAAATTAGTCTTCAGAGGGCTCAAAAATGTTTTACCCACTTTGAAGTGGAATTATTCTCAAATCGCAGAATCATAAAGACTTAGAAAAAGCCTTACAAGTGCTCATTTGCAGGAATTCTTTACACCACCTCACAGGCAAAAGGTTTTCCAGCCTTTGCCTGAATTCTGTCAGCAATGGGCATTCACTATTTTGCAAAGCAGTATGCTCCATTGTTAGAAAATTCTTCCCTATAATCACTGGGAATCTGCCTCCTTGAACTTCTACACAAGAATCTTGGTTCTGCCCTCTGGAAAAACACAAGATAAATTAACCCCTGAAATATAATCACTTCTTCAATTAGAATCGAGTTGTCAATGTCTCACACAAAATACAAAAGAAAGGCTCAGAAACTACCCCTGTAGTTTCTACACACCAGAATTTTGAAATCCAGGAAACTACTGAAATCACAAGCCAGCATGTTTTCAAGATATTAAAACTTACACTTCACTTAGCACACAAGTATTACAAGCAACTCAATTTTTTTTACAGAAGGTGGTTCAATGTTTATTGCCTACCTTTTTGCAACTTGATACTATTAAATCCGCCACCATAATTTTGAAAATTAAAATTATATAGGAAGTTCAAGGTAGTTTTCCCAGTTGTTCCTATTTTCATTCTATTTCTCTCTAAAACATCTGCTTTTTAAAGCCCATTTTGTTTTATTGGTACAATATTTTAATTTTTTCTCAAGTATTTTCAAAAACGATCGCTAAGGGAATGGGGGGGGGGGGCGGAGCTAGGAGCGAAGGCAAAGATGGGCCCAGCAGGAAAAGGCTGGTTACTGGCTATGTGCCTTCTGGAAGCATGCTTTATTGGCATAGGCATCTGAAGTAATGAGACGTACAAACAAGACCCAAGAACGAGAACCATCATGAGCCATGAGTGGAAGGCATCAACGTCCCTAAGATGGAAATTAATTGGCACTGGGCATCAAGCAGCACCGGATGCCTCGGCACCTCGCAGAGGAAAGGCAGGAGGTCCAAGGAGCAGAGATCGCGGCTCCCCTTTGGGGGAGCGAAGCCAAGAAGTCGCTGTAGTGCAGCAATCGGATAAGGCTGAACCCGAGAAAGACTGCAAGCGACGGACCGCGGGGAAGGCACACAGCCCCGCGGCTCCGAGGAAGGGTGTGCAGTGTGCAGAGACTGGACGGGCCCTCGAAATGGCGTGCGTGGGGGATGCGGCTGTGGGTAAGGGGCCACACAGGACTCCCCGGGTCCCCTCCCTGCAGCACGGCAACAGAAGGTGTAAGGGGGAGGGTGAAAAGCCAGAATGACTCATTCCCGAAAGGAAGTGCTCAAGCCATAGGAAGACAAGCCACGGGGGACTTCGGGGCGAGGGCTGTGAGGGGCGAGGTGCTCCGGGGCACGGGGGCAAGACCCAACGTCGCCGACTTCCTGCCGCTCGCGTTTCAGACCAGGGTGTGGGGGTTCGCGGCAGCCGAGTGCCAAGGCCTGGGAAGCGGCGCGGCGCGTGCGCAGTGGCGTTCGGCGGGACCCGCTGAGGCAGAGCGGAGCCGCAGTGACAGAAGCAAGCGGAGCGGCCGCCGGGAGGGACTCACCGAGGCGCAGGGGCTGGAGGTGGTGCTGGGGGTAGGCGACCGCTGGACCGTGACCAAAGCCATCTAGGCGCTGCTGGGTTGTTCCGGGCAGGGCATTCTTGTCCCGAGTGTGGGGGGCGGGAGGATGACGGAGCTGGGATGGGGAAGGGGGTGCGGGGACGGGGAGGAGGAGGAGGCCGCCGGAACGGCCGAAGGCTCCGCACCCACCACCGGACTCTTGCCGACTGACGCGCCGAACGGGCGGCAGGCGGACGGACGGGCGGGCGGTTCGGCAGCTGCGGGGCACAATGAGCGCTCCCAGTGCGCAGGCGCCACCTGTCAGCAACCGCCTCTCCCCTCGGCGCGCGCCGCCGCCTCGCCGTAACCCTTGAGTTGCCGGAAGCCCGCCGAGTGCGTGTGCCCCGGGCCGCCGCCCGCTCCCGCGTTTCCTCCTCACCCCTGAGGCGGCGCGGTTGGCCCGCGCGCGGGGCTGTGGCGTGGGGTGGGGGAAGGAGCGGAGGGGAGCCCGCCGGGCGAGAGCGTTGCGGGCTTAGGGGGCTGCGGGAGTCTCTCACTCCTGAGAGACAACCATTTTATGAGGCGGGGCGCTCAGCTTCACCAGCCTCGGAGGTGAAAATTGAGGCAAACGTGTTTTTTCTTACGCTCTCATTGGGCGCGGATGGGGCTGGGCTAGGCTAGGAGACCTTTGGCCAGGCTCTCCGGGGCTGCTTCTGAGCTTCCCACCCTTCAGTCCGCGTTCCAAGATGAGACTTTTTAAAAGAAAGAACGATCTTCAGTTCTGTGCCCTGGAAGGCTTCGCGGTACCCTCACGCTGCCTCTGTTACCTGTATCTGAAGCCCCACTCGTTGTCCCTGAGGTTGCGGAGGCTGAAGGGGCCTGGGAGGCCTCGTGGAGTCCTAAGGGTCCAACCTGCTATTTACCTCCCACTTGCTTCCTGCTGTGAAGACATTTCTTAATTAAGCAGGATTGGCTCCTCCACCTTTCTTCTTCAGCTCCAAGATTTCATCATTCCGTAGACATGTGAGGTGCAGGCTTAAAATTATTTTTAAAGGAGTCATTTTCTGGAAGATACACTTTCAATAGAACATAAATTCAGGGATGTCATGGAAAAGTCAAGATTAAAAAGGGGAAAACCCACACAATGCAAATATCATTGGTTATTTACATAGAGAAAAGGGAGTTGGCAAAGCTCTTTCTCTCTTTGAGTAGGTGAACGGGTGAATAGCACCATACATTTCAAAGCTGTAGGAAACACACGCGAGCCACGCCGGAGTTTGCAGTTATTCAAGCCCACCTCCCCCTGTTTTTCACTCAGACATTCTGGGTTCTCATTGCTCCTTTTAAACTGACAGGGCCGTCATGAGCTCTTTCTGGTTGCTGTACGGTTAAGTGCCACAAGAGCCCTCTGTGCCGAGCCTTTGTTCTCTGGGACCCTGTGGTTGAAATAATTAGCAGGGAGGTTCTGTCAAGACACACTGAGGGTCCCTGTACTGTACAGTCCTATATTGAGTGGATTGCAGAAGCCCGCTGGTAGGCTTTTGCCCCCTAGCGGTCATCAAGGGTGCCTGCGACGCAAAATTAAACAAAGATGGATGGTTCACAGATTAAACAATCTGTGTTTTTTTCCCAGAGCTACACAGTAAACAGGAAAAGAAAAGGCAAGGTTCAAAACTAAGAACTTTGAACCAACGCTTAAGAGATCAAACAGGAAGCTTTATACATAACCAAGAAATATACATAGCTGAAAGTTGAATGAACTCAAATAAATATATGGGATTTATAAACCAAAATATCATTCTAGGAATAGTATTGTTCAGATCAGTAGGTTTTAGTAAATATACTTGTATGTTGACTTAGAGATAGCAACAATGATTATCTATTTATGTGGAGAAACACACTCTTGAAAAATTCTTCTAGAGGCTTAATTCCATTAACCTTACAGTGGGAGTGAGAACTGCCACTGGAATCACAAGACCTAGTTTCTAGTTCTAGCTAGGTAAAGCCTTATGCAAATGACTTGAACTTTTTTACTTTTAGTTCCTTCATCTATACAATGGAACCCCAACTCACAGGATTCTTGTGACCAAATGAGATAATGTATGGTAAAGTGCAATGCAAACTGCAAAGTCCTGTGTGACAGTAGGACAACTTTTTAAAATTTCTTTATTTGAGGGGCAGAGACAGAGAGGAGAGAGATCTCCCATTTGCTGATTCACTCCTTAAATGCCCACAACAGCAAAAACTGGACCAGGTTGAAACCAGGAAACAGGAACTTAATCCAAGTCTTCCGTGTGGATGACAGGGATCCAACTACTTGGCTATCAGCATCAACAGGAAGCTGGAATCAGGAGCAGAGCTGGGACTGGAACCCAGCACTCTGATATGAGATGCAGGTATTTCAAGAAGCATCTTAACCACTGTACTGAATGCCCACCCCAAAACAACTTTCTTATTCTCAGAGGTTTGTTCCAAGTTCAGTCAGCTTTTTGTTAACTGTACCCTATGTGCACAAAGTAGATTCAAGCCAAAAGGAAATAAAAAGAACAAAAGCACATTATTCATGCCTTTTCATAACAGTACCAGTAGATTAGTGGTCAAGACATGTCTCATCTGTAAGTAAGTATACACAATTTCTGTTCAGCATATCCAAAGTGATAAAATCCTGGTCAAAATTGGATTATATAAGATACTCAAGCATTAGACTTGTTTATATCAATAAATTCATTTGTGAATTTGCAGAGGAAATTCTCTTCCTGGTATATGATCTTTTAAGGAAACTAACATTTGTAAATTGTTGATGCATGTTCATTAATTTATTTACCAATAAAGAAGTAAATATTTGTATTATATAATATACATTGTTTTAAGAACAAAATAAATGTTCATCTACCTTGCAGGTGCTCAGAGTCTATTAGCAGGGAAAGAATATATCAACAAATAATTACTGTGTAGTTTATTGGTACCTTGGTTTTGGTCACCTCTAGAAGCCATAGGGAGATATAAAGATATAAGAAGATATCTAGATATATACAAAGTTCTATAGAAACAGATGAGAAGGGATGGGGAAATGTGCTCTTTATGATACTACCTTTCAGGCTTTGGCTACAGATCCCACATATAGCTGCTTTCTGAAGCAAGCTGGACCACATGTGAACATTTGAAGTCTATAATGTCTGGCTCATTTTTCCCTACTCTTCCCTTGGCTCCACCTTGGTTTCTTCTTGGCCTTCTGGTGATCTGAGGGAGGAGGTGCCTCCTTCTATAGAGGGAAGATCCTAGGATCCTCTTACAGTGCTAGCTGAATTTGAGAAGAGAGAGGCCAAAAGCTGGCTTCCCAAAAGAGGGAGCTAGAAACAGAAGTCCTAGTTCTATTCATAGCACCTTCACCCTCCTACCTGTGACACTGAAGTCCTTTTAATCCTTAACTTCTTCAGGGTAAAATTATGTAGGGAGCTTGAAATTCCTGAGATCAGCTGGTTCTGCAGTTTTGAAAACCTGATAAAAATCATTCACCTTGCGAGAAAGATGCATTGCATATTTAACACATACCCCACAATCCATAGAGGAACTCCAGGTTAAAAATCCTGATCTAAAGTTAAAGCATTGGTTGTTAATCTTATTATTTTCCCACATCATGACATCCATAGAAATAATTTTGTACAGCACACTGTGATAAATTAAAAGATATTTAAAGACAATTATATGGAGCTTTCTGAAAAAATTGCTTTCTTTATATTACATGTTTATAATGAAAAAGATAAAATACACATATTAAGAATTATATTAAATTTTGAATTGTGTAAGTTTCTAATAAAATTTTTCAAAAAACTTAATGGAAAACCTGGGGTTGCTTTGGTAAATACATCTTTTTTAATATATGATTTTATTGTTGAAATGACTACATGCCATTCCTGAAAAAGACAAATTAACAGTGATCTCTTCAAATTCTTGGTAGTCATAACTGATGAGAACTTAGTTCATACAAGTACGTGATAAAAACTTATAAAACAATTTTCACAACAATTCAAAATTTACATGTACAAATTATATTTGATTCTAATAGCTCTGTTTTTTTCTCATTATGAAATGTAATGTGGCAATATCTTGTGATAATGTGACTGGATTTCAAATCTACTCAAATTCCTTTGTGTTCAGTATACATTGCAAAATAATGAGAACGTTTTATTTTAGTATGCAGAGTATGATTGTGTGACTAAAGCAATGATTCTGCGGCTTACTTGGACATACCTTAGAGGGCACATCAGACCTAAACAAAGAAAAGAATTCAATGTATGTAAAGAGATTAGTAGCTGAACCCATCAGGAGCATCTGACAGGCCTCCTGGCCTTTCTCGGCCACACCTGAGGCTATGAGTCCTTGCCCCTTTCCCTTGGAACATACACTCCTCCATATCTCTAAGCTTCCGTATTTATGATGGGCAACAAGATGCACTGCGGCATCTTTCTGAAAGTGATGCTCTACTGGAAGAATACACTTTGGCTTTGCTCAGCAACTGTGTCACTCTCCTTGCCACCAGTGGAACTACTGGGCACACTTGCGTGAGTCATCAGACTCTGACTGTTTTGGGGTGCCCTCGGAGAATCCCTAGATCACGCAGATTCTGGCCAGGGATGAATTACCTAGAAGTACTAACTGCTCCATTTTATCCAGGCCACTCCTAGAGCTGACTAGATTACTATCTTACAGTGTATCTGTAACTCATTCATTGCACACCAAATGAAGGGTGTCACTTAAAAGACTAGAGCTTATATAATTAAATGTATTGAGGGAGAAAAAGAGAAGAAAAGAGAGTTGGGTCAAATGAAAGAGATGAAATAATGGTTCTATCCTTGGAAATCTAACCCCTTACATGTGAAATGACCTGGCCATAGTTACAAGTATAAATTAATATAGCACACATGGGGAATGTCTAAGAGCGGAAAGTTGCTGAAGTATGATTGTGTTAAATTGACTGGTGTAGGGAAGGCTCATAATGCTGCCCTTCCCCCCTGAGAAGGGGCATTCTATGTCCTGAGGGGGCCTCTGGGATAACTGGCCCTCACATACCCCCCACCAAATACCTTAAGTAGAATCTGATGGGGAAGACCAAAGTAAGTCTAATACAGCTGCAGCTTGTAGAAAAACTAGGGAACATGTACAGCTGTTTTGCCCATGAATCAATTGTGCTTGTTTACTCAAGTATATGTAACGTTGTGCACTGAAGCTGTGCTACCAATCAGCTGCCATCAGTCACTTTCGTAAGTAGTGTCTCTTCCAGCTGGACTTTTGGATGGTTTCTTTGGAATTAATGAACATTATGTATAAACTCTCTTGGACTTCAGACTCCTGTAGTGTGACACTTGGTTTCTTAAGTTTTATTTTTATTAGCTTCATCTACCTTTCACTGTCCACACAGGCAATAGAAAACCATACCAATTATCTGCAAGGAGAAAAAGAAGTACCTACATAAGACGTTTGTTTTTTCTTTTTTTAGAAAAAAATTTATTTATTTGAAAGACTTAGAGGAAGGGAGAAAGAGAGGGAGAGAGAGAGAGAAATATCTCCCATCTCATGGTTCACTCCCCAGATGGCCACAATGGCCAGGGCTGGGCCAGGCTGAAGCCAGGAGCTTCTTCCAAGTCTTCCCAGCACTTGGGCCATCTTCCACTGCTTTTCCCAGACCATCAGCTGGGAGCTGGAACAGAAGTGGAGCAGCTGGGACACTAACTGGTGCCCATAAGGGATTCTGCCATTACAGGCAGTGGCTTTACCTGCTAAGCCACAATGTGAGCCCACATAAGAAGTTTTTAAGTAGGTAACTAAAAAGGTAAAAAGAGAAATCCAAGGTATCACAGTGGGAGCAACTGCTACCACATTTAAGGCTGAAAAAGAAAAGATAGAAAAAGAAAAAAAAAACTTAAAGGAGTAGCTTCACAAAGCTAAAAACTCCGGTCTCTAAAGGAGAAGGTACCGCTCAGCTGTTAGTGTCTCTGAGCTTGGAAGAGGAGCGACCCAAACCTCTAGGGGTAGGAGCACTGACTGGTTGGTGTTGGTTTGTTTCAATCAATGAAAACTACAGAACTACAGGAAAACCACAAAGTGCATTCAGCTGTTGCAACAAAAAAGGAATGTTTCCACCAAGATGAATAAGTATTACTAGGGTCAAACCTACAGGAACCAGAGGGTACAAGAAGCAGGCAGGGGGTAGACCAGAAAGAGCAAGTCTCTTGTTTGTCTTTCAGCCTTGGGATCTTCCTCAGGTGCCCCCAATTAGCAGAGTAGACTAGAGCCAGCTAGTAAGGCAATGAAATGTTGTTTTCAGGCCGGCGCCGCGGCTCACTAGGCTAATCCTCCACCTAGCGGCGCCAGCACACTGGGTTCTAGTCCCGGTCGGGGCGCCGGGTTCTGTCCTGGTTGCCCCTCTTCCAGGCCAGCTCTCTGCTGTGGCCCGGGAAGGCAGCGGAGGATGGTCCAAGTGCTTGGGCCCTGCACCCCATGGGAGACCAGGAGAAGCACCTGGCTCCTGCCATCGGATCAGCGCGGTGCGCCAGCCGCAGCGCGCCAGCCATGGCGGCCATTGGAGGGTGAACCAACGGCAAAAGGAAGACCTTTCTCTCTCTCTCTCACTATCTACTCTGCCTGTCCAAAAAAAAAAAAAAAAAAAAGTGGTTTTCAGAGTCTCAGCTCAAAGAAGAGTAAAAATGAATGAGTTTGGAGTTGAGACAATAATTTAATAGCTGATACTTGGTTGATAGGGAAATTGATATCAGGAATGGAAGTCATCTCTCTCTACTTTACATATATCTCATGCAGACCTTGCTACTTCCTACTTCTCAAATACAATACCATACTGCCATCAATGTATTGGATTAATGTGTTGCTGACTGGGAGGTCAGGATGCTTAATACCTTTGTAGTCTGTATTATGGCAAAGAATAGGAGAATTGATGGACCCCTGAGGCAAGACTGTGAAGGTACAAATTTAACATTCCTAATTTCAAAATCCAAAATTCTCTGAAATCTAAACTATTTTGAGAACTGACATGATGTCCCAGGTGGAAAATACAACATCATGAAACTGTTTAGTACACAAACATTTGAAAATACTGTATAAAGTTACCTTCACCCTGTGAATTTCGTGTTTAGACTTCGATTACCCTCAAAATATTATATATATGCAAATATTCCCAAATCCAAGAAAGTCTGAAATCTGATACACTTCTGATCCCCAGCATTTCAGATAAGGGATATTCAACCTGTATATTGTTGGCCCTAGCAAGTAAAAGCAAACTGCTTTCAGTGTTCCTTGCCAGTTTACATGGAGAAATGAGCATTTGGTGGGTCAAAGAGCTGTAAATTCTCCAAGATTCACAAGCCTTCCTCACAGGCCAAAT